TGTGTGCTTTCAAATGCCTTTGTTTCAGTCCTTCATACGTTGCCTAAATGTCTGAAAGCTCCAACTCTGCTCTTATGTCTACACTGATTCTTATTATTAATGACTGAAATTTACAACTTTAATTTTGGAAATTTGCTCGTAATATTACCCTCCTCCCCTGGCTTCATAATTTATTTATTTTTCTATCTACAATGGCTCTAACATGCAGTCATAGTGACAGTCACAATTAATCTTTATTCTTTAACTCCCTGTTTTCCTGTATATACCTCTCATCATGTGGTGTGAGCATTAAGGTGTAACTGAAATTTATTTATGTGGTTTGTGTGTAAATGAAGGAGGAAGGAGACGTGTGGAACATGAAGAAAGTGGGTTAAAAATTTTTAACAAAAGGCAACAGTTAAAAGCCTGTGACTACTTAAAATGACAGAATGGAGGGCTGAGGCTGTGCAATCCTTTGTGTTAAAGGAACTTTTGATTTAGTTAACCAGCTAAAACAAGAACCTTTCACACCCAAACAATGGACTCCTTTTCTGAACATAGCACTCAACAAGTGAGGAACAAATTGTATGTGTGTGTGTGTGTGTGTGTGTGTGTGTGTGTGTGTGTGTGTGTGCGTGTGCGTGTGTGTGTGTGCACGTGTGTGCATGTGACCTACGTCTAACAATCGCCCTGACGCATACCATCCTTTCTCTCCTCAAATGAAAACAGAGTAAAGGGAAAAGAGAAATCATCCACTGTTGAAGTACTTTACGAGATCCTCCTCTCAACAGAAAAAGGACTAAGTATCCATGGGAATCTTAGCACGTTGGGGAGGCCTTTCTCCCTTCCTCTCATCCACTCTCCCCCGCTGCACCCATGGACCAATGCAATTGTTTATTTTCTCCTATTGAGGCTGCTCCATTCACTGGCTCTCACATTTACTCTGCTCAATTGGAGTGAGACAGCACTTATTCGGGGAAAGGAATGTAGCGTTCCACTGACAGAGCAGCAAGAATGCAGAAGAAATAATTAAACTTTTTAAAGGAAAAGGTACAGCTGAACGTGAGGGAGAGCGCCTTCAAACCAGACAATGCCGAGTGACAGGATATTCGGCTGTGATGAGTATATCCACACATCACCTTGACACTACAAAGTGAAGGAGTGTTTGAATAACACACAATGCTAGAAAGTGGAGCAGGGATCCTATAAGGAGGTCATTCATTCGCCCTGCTTTCTTAACTGAAACTCCCTGCAGAACAATGAAGCGTTCTCCGGACTCTTGTAAGATGCGGCCTGTCCTCCAGCCTCACTCTTCCTGGGCCCAGGCACACTAGCTTCGAGCTGAACCACCGAGTTAATTTCTCCTGGGGTCTATTCTGTCTTGACGAGGTGGTCATAATGACACTTTCCTTTTCTGTCACAAAGGCCGTGGCCGCCAAAGCCTTCTGTGTCCTGTCAATCTCTGCCATCTTCCACTGGGGCTGAGCTGGGGTTAATGCTACATTAAGCAAAATCTGATGAATAAATTTACATCTGAGGCAGAGAGTCAGGTCACTCCATTCAGATTGACACCTGCGCCGTACAGAGCTGCTGATGTACAGTCTAGCAGTGTCAAGCTGTTTCAGATTGCTTCAACTTGGTTTCAGGTTTCACATATCATGAACAGCCGTCATAAAGAAAAACAACTTTATCTGTACTCGCATTGCATCGCTAACATCTTCTGCTGCCCAGACACACATTATATCGAAACTACAATATGTCTACTGTGGGTGATGCTTTCTTTATCCTTTTCCGGTTTTGGCTACCTGGCAGTGAGTTTGCAAGTCAGTTTCATTTGCACAAAATCACAAATTTGCCTCAGAGGGCTTTGTAATATCTGTGCAGACATGTACTAGATGTTGTGTGTACAGAAAAGACAAAAACAACAATGGTGAAATGACACTACGAATAAACAGAATGAATATATTAGGAAGATAAATGACCGTTGACTTATTGTGTACAACACAAAGCAGAAAGCTACACTCATCGGCCATTTTATTAGGTACACCATGCTAGTACCAGGTTGGACCCCCTTTTGCCTTTAGAAGTGCCTTAATTCTTCGTGGCATACTTTCAGCAAGGTGTTGGAAACATTCCTCAGAGACTTTGGTCCATATTGATCCATGATGCGAATCTCCCGTTCCACCACATCCCAAAGGTGCTCTGTTGGTTTGAAATCTGGTGACTGTGGAGGCCACTGGAATACAGTGAACTCATTGTCGTGTTCAAGGAACCAGTTTGAGATGATTTGAGCTTTGTGACATGGTGCATCATCCTGCTGGAAGTAGCCATCAGAAGATGGGTACACGGTGTTCATAAAGTGATGGACATGGTCAGCAACAATACTCAGGTAGGCTGTAGCATTTAAACGATGCTCAGTTGGTACAAAGGGGCCCAAAGTGTACCAAGAAAATATCCCCCACACCATTACACCACCACCACCAGCCTGAACCGTTGATACAAAGCAGGATGGATCCATCCGAGACTCATCAGACCAGGCAAAGTTCTACTAATCTTCTGCTGTCCAGTTTTGGTGAGCCTGTGCAAATTATAGTCTCAGTTTCCTGTTCTTAGCTGGAGTGGCACCCTTTGTGGTCTTCTGCAGCTGAAGCCCCTCTGCTTCAAGGTTTGATTGTTGTGCATTCAGAGATGGTATTCTGCACACCTTGGTTGTAACGAGTGGTTATTTGAGTTACTGTTGCCTTTCTATCATCCCGAAACAGTCTGCCCATTCTCCTCTGACCTCTGACATGAACAAGGCATTTCGTCCACGCAACTGACGCTCACTGGATATTTTCTCTTTTTCAGACCATTCTCTGTAAACCCTAGAGATGGTTGTGTGTGAAAATCACACAAGTTTCTGAAATACTAAGAACCATGCCACGTTCAAAGTTACTTAAATCCCCTTTCTTCCCCATTCTGATGCTCGCTTTGAACTTCAGCAAGCTGTCTTGACCAAGTCTACATGCCTAAATACATTGAGTTGCTGCCATGTGATTGACTGATTGTGTTAACAAGCAATTGAGTAGGTGTACCTAATGAACAATTAGGTACAATCCTACTGATTCTATATAAAAAAGCACAACTGGCCTCTACAAAAAGTCAGTAATAAAGTGAACGTGTAAGCATTAGTGATCAGTTGGAGAAAGTGAGTAAATACAAGGACAGAACAGTTTACATCCTGTCTTGTTTCACTAGAGCTGCTTCATGGCCAGAGGCAAAGTGACTGTAGTTGTTTGACCATGCTCTCATGGGGTCAGTGACAAGCTGAAATAGACATTTGACATAGACCCTGGTGAATAATAGAAGATTTTTTTTAAGTGAAAGCAATTATTGCTATTTGTAATTTTGTGTGAAGTGTCCTTGTCACTGTGTGTATCTTTAAAATGTGATCCGGGACTGCAGATGAAAGTTGGCTTTAAGCTTCTACTGTCAGTGAACAGACCGCACATAAGAGCATATGCAGTATGTGTCAAATATAGAGGTACAAAGCTATTCAAATGCTGTTTAAACTGTATTTGGATAGACAATTAATAGATAGCCATTGCATGACTCCTTCCTGGTTTTAACAGGATGCATGTTTTCACTAATTAGATGGAAAATTCTCAGCACAGGAAACACTTTGTTTTGCAGAAAAGATGAGGTATTTGCTCCAGAACCACAGTCTGAATTTAGGCAGCAGGTCACAACATGTAAAACTGAAGTAAATCTCATCTGCCCCCTACTGTTCAGACACATCCAATACAATATACTGACATACTGAATATACAAGAAAAGAAGATAATTCTCACCAATTGAAGGTAGGAATCTGTCTTCTTCTGTATTTATAAGACAGATGTGTCAATTCATGTGAGCAAATGTCTACAGAGTAGCCACATGCACACACTGTCAGTTCTGGGGAATGTATAAGCATTTTAAGTCTTTTGAAAACAGGGAATTTATGAACTCATTTGCAGTGGTGAAAGGTAACTAGATATGTTTACTCAACTGTCATTTTGAGGAAATTGTATTTCCATTTTCTGCACTTTATAGTCATATTTCACTACAGTCCAGAGGGAAGTATTGCGCGTTTTACTCCACTACATTCATTTGATAACTGTAGATTAAAAATGCAATTAAAATAAAAATAAAAAATAAGTTATGATAATCTGTCAAGATAAGGCTCTATTGATCACTGGTGAAATTCACATGCTATGGAGCACTATGCAATATCAGCCTCACATTTACCAGCTGCAACATTAAAGATGGTTAGGAATCTTGTTTCAGTAGCATTTATTGTTATTTGTTGAAATTATCTTCATATCCTGACAGCAATCAATTAATGATTAATGATAATTAATTAAGGTATCCCTGGCTGTGGCAGGACTGTAATAAGCACAATTAAAATGACTGGCTGACCAACTGCCACTGCCATTTTTTCAGTGAGATGCTTCTAGCTGTCCCTTGCTAGTTTCTTCATTGTTGCCTAAAGCCACAGCTTTAACATTATGTACACATTAATGCATCAATTATTACAATTCAATAATATAAATTATTCTCAAAAGGGTCTTTATGCATAATGAGTACTATCACTTTTGTACTCTACATTTTGATGCTATGTACTTGTACAGGCTGAGACCTTAAAATTTTGAATGCATGACTTGCAAAACACAGTAGACCTACTCCTACACTGTGGTATTGCTACTTTTACTGAAGTAAAAGATCTGAGCACTTTAACCACTGCCCATTTGGAAACTTACATGCTTTTCTGAAGTAGTGCAAAAGATTATTTATTTTACATCCTGCTGTACCCACTATATTGCCATGGTGTTTTGTAATATCAGAGGTTCAATTGACAATTATTTCAATTCAATACATATACAGTTTCTCTGACTTACTAAAATCACATGTGAAAGGACAATGAGAGGAAGTCATTACAGACAGCCAGTGGAAGACCGCCCCAGGAGGTGAGAAGAAGAGAGCTGAAACAGACTCTATTTTTTTCTGTGGTTTTGACAAGTAATATCATTTGGCAGCATGTTGCCATGGTAGGCTTAACCACCCTGACGAGCCAACAGCTGCACTGCACCACCTCTGTGATCTCTCAGAATGGACACCTACGAGAGTACTTATGGCTATTTCAATTACAATGACGATAACTACACTGATTTTCCTTATCCTAATGACTGTACTGAATCTTACCTCCCTGGTGCCAACATCTTCCTGCCCGTACTTTACTTCGTCATCTTTTTCACAGGATTTTTGGGTAACCTCTTTGTGATCTTAGTTGTGGGCAAGAAAGGGCGGAGAAGTGGGCGTCTTGTGGACACTTTTGTTGTCAATCTGGCCCTTGCTGACTTCATCTTTGTCCTCACACTGCCTCTGTGGGCCATCTCTGCCAGCCAGAATGACTACTGGGACTTTGGGACACTAAAGGACCTGCTGTGCAAGCTGAGCAGCTACATCATTGCTGTGAACCGCTTCTCCAACATCTTCTTCCTCACCTGTATGAGTGTTGATCGCTACCTGGCTGTGGTGAAGCTGATGGATTCAAAGTACCTCAGGAGCAGTCAGTGCATCCGTACCACCTGTGCCGCAGTCTGGTTGAGCTCCCTGGTGCTCGGCATCCCATCCCTGGTGTACCGTAGAGTGGAGCAGTACGATGATGTATCGTACTGCGTGGAAGATAACAACTCACCCTTTTTTCTTGGCCTGAGCTTGACCATGGCGTTGCTCACCTTTGTCTGTCCAGTGTTAATCATCGTGCTCTGCTATGGCACCATCATCATGCATCTCAACAAGCATTGTGTTGCTGCTGCCAATGCTCGAGCTGAAGCCCGCCGCAGGCACTCACTCAAGATGGTCCTCTCCATCATAATGGCCTTTGTGGTATCCTGGCTCCCTTTCAACGTTTTCAAAGTCATGATAATTGTCTCGAAGCTCTCACATGTTGAGCAGAGTTGTCTGTCGTGGAAAACAAATGGGCTCCGTGTGTCGTGCTGCCTGGCCTTCTTCAACAGCTGCGTGAATCCAGCCATTTATTTTTTCCTGGACCATCACTTCAGACAACGGGCCATGATCCTGTACAAGACCTGCATAGGAAAGCCCAAGATGCTGCAGAGCTTCAACTCTTCAGCTTCATTCACCTATGCTGGCACTTCAGAGAGCTGTGGAACAACTGGTGGGAGAACTCAGCTTCAGAGTTCTATGTAGGAGGTAAAGACTCTTATCTTCCTATCTTTGAAGGTAGTGAAGTTATTATTCTATTATCATGTCATCCTGACAACTTGTTATGTTCATCTTGATAATGAATTTGTGCATATTTCTCTCAAGGGATTTTTGAATACTTAAACCAGATCCACCGCAAGAAAAATTTCTCAATGCAGTGCTGTACATTATTGTTATAAAATGGGATTTTATGTTGTCATATTTATCTGTTATTCCGGCTTTCGACAAATATTGAACATGCTGTTTCTTCTGCTTAGAGTATACTATACACTGTAGGACAGTAGTGATCATATGAGTGAGCATCCAATCATTTCTTTTGTTTGTACATTTTATCAAGTGTGTAAATTTACAGCTGTTGCATTTTTTTGATATATTGAAGAATTTTATTATGTTTCTGTTATCAAATATTTGTTGCATGAATCAAGTTTCATGAAATGTATATATTGTTGTGATAAAGTTGCATTTCTAAAACAAAAGCTTGGAAAAAATGTATGTGTAGTATTTTCTAGTTGTTTTTTTGGGTCATTGCACGCAGATATTGCTATATTTTTCTAACGTTTTTTTTATTCTCAAAATAAAATCTAGTTAATCAAGCATAACAAGATGATTTCATTGTGTTGTATTGATAACTGATTAAATTGTGCCACAGTTAATCTGTCATTAGATAGCTGATCCAAATAATGAATGGGCATAATTGTTTAGCTTAAAATATTCAAAACATTTTTAATCTTGAAATAATGTTGTCAGGTTTAGGGGCATTTAGAAAAAAATGTACTATTATTATAAAACTGTTGGAGCTTGGCAGCATTTTTAAACTCAATTTTGCCATTACTCCTCAGTTGAAATTACTTTAAACTGACAAAGCAAGGAAATTTTCTATATTGTCTGTTGTGAAGACAATTAGCTATCGTATTTGTGCAATTCTGAATAGTAATACAGCGACACAGAACATTTTATGCAGTTCCCTAATGTAGTTCTGCTCAATGTATATTAGCCTATACCAAAATAATATCAGCATTGGCTAATCAAATGATAATCTTTCTTAGAAGTGTGATTACGATAATGTAATCGTAACACTGTCAAAATATTTTTTTCTTGTATTTCCAAAAATGTATTTCCAAATAAAGGCAACTTAGCTTATTTATTTTTACCTTGTGAAAACACATTCTCTCTCATTCACAGTCTCTTCTTAGCGTAAGTACTAAGATCTCATAAATGACACGACCTCCCTCTCAGGTCTGATCTTGTCTAATAAACCAGCAACCATTTGCTTTGTGTGTTGTTTGACTGATATTATTCATCATATTCTTGGCATCACATGCAGTGGCAGTAATTCAAGAAAAAAAAAACATTAAACAAAGCTCCTTGGCCTCAACTTACAGTGAGACAGACAAGAAAACAACAAGCAGCTTAGATCTGACATCTGCGATGTTTCCTGAGAGGAAACATTGCAGATGTCAGATTCACATTTGTATACGATCACACTTTTCCCAAGTTGTCTTTATAAGAAGTTGTTACTGTCTTTATTCACTCGGGCATTGCGGACGTTTCCCTGCTAAATGTAGCTTCTGAGAAATCAAAGGTATTCACATGAGTCTTATGGGGAAGTCAGGTATTTGAAAGTTCAAATGTTCATGTGTGCCCACTTGTTTTTCAGTACCATTTGTGTTATGAATCAAATGATTTAAAGACAGAAAAGGCCAGGATGTGCCAGGCTGTGGGTGCAGGGTGGTCAGGAATTTCCCCTCTACTGCTTGAAAAACTCACTCAAAAAGACACACACTGACCGGCTTTTCTCACAGCACTTTTTCGACACTGTCACAAACAACCCCCCTGTGTTTGGCATCAAGTATAAAATAAACATTAGTTGTCTAGATGATCAGTATTTTATTGTTTTTACACTGACTGGCAACATCTTGGTGTTTTTAAGAATGCACACGAATGCATGAACAGTACAGGATCTATTGCGGCGTGGTCGGCAAAAAAAAATATTTTAAGGTTCTCATGACTGCTGCACACTCATAACTGTGATGCATTTATTTCAACATGAAATACTCAACGTTTCAGAAAACACCTTTCATCAAGGTGAAGAAATAAATGCATCAGAGTTATGTGTGTGTGGCTTTCCATTCTCTATGTTTTTATTTTACCAATTAGATAAAATTTTAAGTTTCCTAATTTATTGTGTATTCATGACAAAAGTGTGCTTTTTTGTCACTGTTTTTTAATCCCAATTGTACAGTTGAATATGATAACGGATTGCACTTTTAACCTGAGAACAGAGTCATCACAAGCTTCACATTCGCCCACTCACACCGATGGCAGGGGAACTGTGCTGCCAGACGCTGGTCGCTCTGAGGTTTAGCAAATTGCTCAAGGTTATGGGTTACTCATACAAGAGCCAGGGTTACAAACCACCAACCCTGTGATTACAGGGATGGACAAAATTTATAATAATCTTATTATCTTTATTCTATATCTATATTATCTTTTTAATATAAAAAGATAATATATGCAGATAAATATTTTTATTCATGCTTCAATTATTTTAAATGTTGATTTTATTTAAACATTCAACATTGCCAAGTTTAATCTATGAGTTCAGAGAAGAGGGTCCTGTTGATGTGAATGTTAAAGGTGAAGTGGATTAAAACACGCAATTGAAATAAACTGTGGAAAACCCATGTTATTTCAGTTAACATGCCTACTTACAATAAAGGAACAGTAAATCTAAACTGGCTGAATTATTTTAAATATACTATTTATATACTATACATACTATTATACTATTTGGTGCTTTCTGTACATTTATTTTTTTGTTTGTTAAAATAAAAATGAATTTCTGAATGTAAGCAACACATAGTCGGTTGCTGAGAATAAAAATCTTGAATTTAATTACTGTTTTCCTGCCAGTCTGGTACACACAAACTGAGAGGTGCACTGGTGGACAGGTTTTCAGTCTTATCAGTAATTTCCAGTGGATGAGCTGGCATTCAGTTTCTGTTACTGGTAATGGTGAGACTACAAACGTTTGGTGTTCACACATGACTATTGCAACCTTCTTTTATGTGGTTGCCAGCGTCTCATTACCATACTCAGATTTGCTGAACTAATAAGTCATGCTCCTCGATAAGTGAACTTTACTTGAACTTTGAAAATTAGTTTTCTAACTATATTGATGGGACAGTTAAATCCGTGTAAAATGTAAAAACCTACTTGTTCAGCTGGAGGTAGGAGATACACTGATGTTAAACTGATTCAATGACATCAAGAAACAACACACTATTCCTCTTATCAATTAAAATTTTAATCCATAAGCAATAAAAATTCCCGTCATACTCAGTTTAACTCACTAAGCGGTTTTGATGCTACTGTGGACCTCTGTGACTCTTTTCTAAAATTCTTTGTTGAAAAGATTTTTGCACTTTGATCTTCTGTAACCACATCTTCTAACCATGACCCCTCTGTTCCTCCTATATGCCCTGCCATCCTGGATCAGTTTGAGCCAATATCAATCTCCACCCCATCCGAGGTGGTCCATCATCTGCAACCCACGAATTGTCCCTCAGACAGCATTCCCTCTTGTCTGATTAAGGAAGTCTTTGACACAGTTGGACCATGTAACTTGTCACTGATAAATGCTTGTCTTATCTCTGGTTATGTTCCAGCTGCATTTAAACATGCTGTTGTGCAGCCCCTGTTATAAAAAAAGGAAAATTTCGACCCTTCTGTTCTTTCTAACTTCAGGTCCGTCTCTGTCTTTCTTATCTAAAGTCCTGGAGAAAGTAGTTTTTACCCAGCTGCAAACATTTTCAATTTACCATTATGTTTATGAAAAGTTCCAGCCCTGTTTCAAACTCCGTCATAGCACTGAAACTGCACCAAGATTCATCTGTTTTTCCGAAGCATGAGGTCCCTTTTCACTGTCTTGCAGACGACATACAAATCTATTTGCCCTTTTAACTTTCAGAGAATTCAGATGAATTCTTTATGTGTGCTACTGTAACATTATGTTGTATTATTTAATCTTCACTTATTTTGTTGTTCATAGTGTCATGGTCAGGTACAGTTACAGCTGGTGATATGATTTTTAAACCAAGTAAAAATTAGTTAGTGAAAGCTTCTCCCTGCATAAGTAGTAATCTACCAAATTCATATTTTTAATCTTTTTCTTCAGTACAAACATCAGTTACCCAAAGTTTAGATTATATAAACACAAAACGTGCACACATAAAATAGTTTCACATTAGAGATATGTGAGTTGTTTCGTTATTGCCCAGCTGTACAGCTGCACTGAACGTACAGCCTAGCACAGTTGTGGCTGTGTATTTTTACATTTCACAGTATAACCACCAGCATGCAGAATGTTCACACAGAGATGATGCCAACGCTGCAACTGTCAGATCACATGATTTGCTGTGGTTTCCTTGTTCCTTAAAATTCAGATCAAGTCTTCACAAGCTACACTTAATCTGTACAAAATCAGCTTACTGAGAAAAGGTCGTGTGGAAGGTTTAAAAGTCATATATTTAAAAAGGATACATAATTTCTGCCTGTCCTGTGAGCAAACCTGACATCTGTGATTGAACAAATGGCTTCATTTCTAGTGACAGAAGGCATGACTGGATACTGGACATAGATACTGGACCTTCCACGTCAAATTTCATCCAAGGTGAAATGTGGTTTCAATAACGCACATAGTTATCCCCAAGAAAAGATCTTCCTACAATTTAAACGTGTCAAAGAATCATGGTTTCACATGTATTTAAAACAACTAACCGCCTGGGAAATAAAACCAGACAGTCAGAGAGATGTGGCTAAATGTTATTTCTGACTAGATGCTTTTCAACACAAGGAAGTCGGACTGCTGGTGATACAGATTGCTTACCTTTAGATGAGGAGTTGATCTTCTGTTAATCAAAATATTTAAAATGAGATGTGTAAATATGGAGCTCCAACAGTCACAGTGTGACTAAACAACGTGTGGTTTTCATTTTTAACATTTTCACATATTATATAGCCTATATGCTATATTATTATAGTAAATTCAATATCACCAAATAAAAGCAGTCAATGTGTTTTACTTTTTTAAGACTAAAAGTTAAAACATATTTTATCAGAATGTCCTCAAGTATGTTAAATGTATATGGCATGCAAAGCAAACATCAAGCAACCCAGCTATATTTCAGAATGATGAATTATTAATTTATGATTGTGGTTACAAAACAATATTATCTTGAGATTATACAGTTGGATCCATTATCATTTCAGTGAACAAGCAGGCTACAATTTACTCATGTAATTTAGAATAATTATTTTGTCAAAGTGAGCTGTTTTTAATATTGATCTCTTTAGCTTACAGTGGGGTTTTTTGTTTATTGTTCCTTCCGTTGATTTTCTTTACCTGCTGATTCCTTTGCATGGTTAGTGGGTTTGAGACACCAACAGCTCAGACACTAATGCCGCATTTAGTAGATGGTCACATGAAAACAAGGTAGGCATACAGTTTGTGTTGGCCGTTAGTGTTTCGGTGGAAGACCACGTGGTTGATAGGATTAAAAGGCTATGTAACACACCGCTGCCGACTAGTGGCTGCTCT